CATCACACACAAGGTTAAGCACTGCTTTCCTTCATTCTCGCACATGACTAAGCATTACCTGTTTCCTCTATCAAACGATCAGTATCAAGACATCTTTGCATTTCATGGGTTGAAACATCGCCACATTATCTGAAGGCGTCATAGTCTGAGGGCATCATCCTCAAAGACCGAAGACATCATGCCATGGCCGGAGGATCTCTCAAAATTGCATATCATTATTCAAACGCGTCATTGTCCAGAGGAACCATTCTCATGGCCCGAGGACACCATTCCATGGCCTACGAATCCCTTATCATACGCTTCATGGCCCAGGACGTCATGGTTTAAGGACATCATCCTCTTCATCCAAAGATAACTCTCATGGTCCGAAGGAAATTTACATCATGTTTAAAGTTTCACAATAACCCCATATATGTATTCGTGTGCATTGTGTTTTAAGTTTTGTAGGTAACTCGAGAGGTAGCCATTCTACAAACAGGAGCAATTCTCGCTCCCGTTTCCGTTCACAACGTTCATATCCTTCGATCACCTCAAATGTAACCGACGATCAGCAATTGATTACCCTTTGTTCTGTAATTGCTCAAGTATTCACCTTATACATCTGTAACGTTCAAATTCGCCTTCATAGATTCATGTGAAATTATCAGTTACTCATGACACTGTCATATCCAAAAGATCCTCTTTCAAAACACACGACCACTCTTATAACAACTCCATCAGTTTCGTTCGCCGTTGGATCCAGAACTACATACAACCTGATTCTCGTAATACCAAGGATATGTAGGCAACTCAAGAACCAGGGTTCGACCCCCATTTTTCAAAATACATCATCCCCCACTTATTCCGGACAAAATTGGTCATCATTTTCTTTACTCGATAATTCTTTTATCATTTCCGGGTAAAGAGGGGCAGCTGTCGATACCCAATTTTGCTCTCATATTTTTATAAATTTTATATATACTTTAAATTACCATTCCTGCAACATCACCAATTTACAAGGGTCATATAAGTATTTTCTATAATTTTTCATAATTTTTAAAGCTTTAAAATTTATTTTCTTAAATTTAAATTGTTCAGATTATCCTATCGAATTATTTTATGATGACTCAATCATCCAAATTCATTATTTACATCCACATATATGTTTTATAATATTTTGTTACTTCATTTCATATAATTACATTTGTATTTTGAGCTATTTATATTTTTTGCAATAATAGCCTATAATTTACAACTAATTGCATTTTATATAAAATAACTTTTTATATTTTAACAACCTTCAGCTATTATTTTTAAAAAGATATTTGTTTAAATAATATTTTTTACACTCATTTAGCTATTTTAAATTATTTTCTCTTAATTGCATTATTTTTAAATCTAGCCCAACTTATGCCTAATTTTCGGATCAATTAGGGTCCAAACAAATGAGCTTAACCCCAATTTACCCCCAAAAGCCCAAAATCAAGTGACCCAATAAGCCTGCCTGTTTGCGACCCGACCCTAGCGCCCATTTAGTCTCGGCCGTTGATCTCAAATGATCGACGACCCATAATAAACCTCCTATTTCTCCTTATATCTCTCAACCCCAAACCATAAAGACACTTTNTATATATATATTCTCTACAATGAACGATTCTTGCATTTCTGGCCAGATTCATGGCCATTGGACTCAACTTGGGTTTGAAGTTTCTTTTACCCCTTTACCGACCATATCAGGGATTGCATGTTATTGTTTCTTTCCTTTTTAGGTTAAATTGATTGTTTTCCTTGTTTGTCCATCTTAATATGTTGCTATATAAACCCTTTTCCCCTTATTTCCCTAGACAGACCTTAATCACTGCTATTACTCTCTTACTCTCATCTATTCTACTACTCTGAAACTTGAGACCTTGGTCGGCTAAAAGCCAAGGCCACCGGAGTTCGATTGTTTCTCTTTCTCAGTACAAGCACTGCCCGGGGTTCACTAGAAACCCATGGGAAATTTGATGCACTAAGATTCTTAGAGTCTTGTTGTTCTTTCTTTGCTACTAATAACTGAGCTACTGCTGAAAATTATTTTTCTCATTTACTTGTTCATAATTCGTCATTGATGAGTATCCTTAACTTTTGCTGTTTCATTCTCTTGGGGTTCGTGCTCTGTAGACTAATGTTACTTGAACTTCTGTGATCCTTCTACTATGCTACCTTTGTTTTCAATCTTGTTTGCCTTAATGTCTTTCTGCAGTTTTAATGCCCCAATTCTATTTAGGTTCTAATATTAGAATCATGAGTATTTAGCTAAGGTTATTCCTGCTCTTTGTATGTTTGACTGGTTCGAGTTAAACCCGATCAATGCCTGGTGTGAATGTATCTTCATACTCTGCTTTGGATTCTTGTATTAAAACTTACTAGTAATTCATACTTGCCTAGAAACTGTTCCTAATATATTCTTCCCTCTTCATAGTAAGTCACTCATATATACAACTTTCTATTTGCTCACTTTCTTAAAATGATCATGCCTATGTGAATCCTGAACCTTCTAGAATGCATGTTTCTATACTACTTGTAAGCCTCAACACTGTACTATAGTTGCATGTCTTACTACCATTTTGGCTGCCATAATACTGTTCTATAGGCCATGCTTTCTAGTGCTAATTTGCTTAGTTTCATGCCTAGTGTTATCCTTGGTATATATAATGGAATTTGCTATAGACTTGTATTCTCAGAATTAGATACATGCCTGCTAATTAGCTGTTGTGCAGAGTTTTCAATACTGTTGACCTTTAATTCCTTAATAGGTTTTCTTATAAATACTTTCTGCTTGTCACAAACTAACTTACAAATCTTGGTTATGTTTCGACCTACATGCTTATGTTAAGATTTTTTTGTAAAGTTTACTGTTGGTCCTTGCCTCTTTAGTATGCCATTGCTACTTTTTAACCTTCTGGAAATTAATTCATGACCCTTCTTGCTTTGAACTAGCAAGCTTAACTCCTTTGTTTTATGCTAGATTCCTGCAATCAAATCATGTGTATCCCAAGAAACCTGCTACCTTGAACCTGTTTGCTAATCTGAAAACCCTTGTATATGTCCAATCTATGTATTCTGCATACTCTCTACATCTTATGTGTGCTTATATGATGTTCAAGTGTGTGTCTTACCCCTTGGACGTTTAGAATTCTTGCTTATGTTAGTTGTGGTATTGGGGCCCAAATGAGTATATGTTCCACCTTAGAATTTGAGTTATCTTAAATGATTTGGGTTTGTATGAGTTTCCATTCGTGCTTTAATTATCCGTAGCTTGTAATGGATGGGCGAGAGAATTGTTTTGTTGTTAGGCCCGGACTGCTGAATCTGGTTCTTAGTACTATGGTTTTGAGCACATTGTCTGCGCTTGGGATATGGGCCTATCCGAAATCTTAAAGCTATTTGTAGTCACAAATGCATCGCTGGGTTATCTTACATTTATGATAAGGCATGTATTTATTCCATTTGGGCTATAATAATTTGTAAAACGAATAATTGGGAGAGTAATGAAAAGGGGTTGGGGTATTCTAATGTTTGTATAAAAGGGGTTGAAAGCATGCTTATAGGGTCTACGTGTTCTGTTTGCTATCTCATTCAACATGACTTATGTGTTATTTCGTATAGTATGTTGCATATTAAAAGAAATCATGCCTATAGGGATTACACACACCTCACTCATACACTGTTCAAGCATGTTGGTCCAAGGTATTTGCCCCACTTGTTTTAATGTTACCACTGTGAACTTAGACAACATGTTTATAGGGCGTGACGACATATACTTTATAAATCTAGACACCATGCTTATAGGACCCAACCTAATCAGTTAATCAATTGCTTCTGTTATGCTACTCCTTTAGATATCATGCCTATAGGATTTTAATCAACTAATCAACTACTTGGTTACTTCGTTGCTTTACCACACTTAGACGACATGCCTATAAGGATAATATATATATAATTAGTTTCAACTTTTAGAAATCTTGCCTATAGGATACTGTCACTTACCTAGAAAGCCTGTATATAAACTCAAACGCTAGTAATTCAAAGTTTTTGAACTGTTTTACTGCCTCTTTATGCAAACAATCAGAGATCATGCCTAAAAGACTTGCAATGCTTTCAATCTGCATATGCGTTAGTCTACCAGCTGCAGCACTGCTTGGATAATACTAAAATCAGAGTCACATAGAAGCTATGTCTATAGGATTTAATGACTCAATAACGTCTTAATGCTGGAACTGTCTACTGCACAATCTGAAATATGTTTGCGTGCCTTTGTTGCTATGTGTGGAGGCTAGCTTGAGCCATTTATTTGCCCCTTATTTGTAGTCCTACAAGTTTTTGAATACGCGCCTAGTTTTATCATTTTGAGCAGCCTAAGAAAAGTTTAGAACCATCCAATAGTGGGTCCAAAGCCTCATAGATCATAGGTATGGGACAAATAGTGCACGCATAGGATACAATTTAGAATTGAATTAGAGTGCCTTTAAGTAATAACTTCAACATAATAATCGTGTAGCAGGAGATGATAGTCTGTGCTCGCTGAATAATATGAGCAACCCCTACCCTAAGGAAGTTGCGAAGTATTATTTATGTTGCACGGGGTGATCCTTTAGGCTAAAAAACTTAGGATCCCCCCCCTCCCCCGTATCCTTTTATATACTTACTATTCACACTTAGTCATAGATCGATGCAATTGTACTGTTTGTGATTCTTAAGACTTATATCAGTTAGTCATATAGTTAATTCTTATGGTGTAATAGAGTTTTCAACTTCTACATCTTTACATATATGATCATCTAGCTCAATCATCTAATCTACATAGTGTAAAATTCGGCAGGGAACCACCGTTATGGACTTCGAAGAGTGCCTAACACTTTCTATTTGAAGTCATTTGAGCCCTTACTCAATCTTTGGTGGTGTTGATTAGTCAAACGGAGTTATTTGCAAATAGATGCCCTAACACACCTTAAAATCATTAGGTGATGACTCTTCTATTTTAATACCCATTTAAAAGAGTTGTCACATGTCGAAACCCGCTTTCGCGAGAAAAAGGGGTGTGACACCGCCGTTGCTGCTACAAATGTGACTGTGGTGGAGGTAATGTTGCCACTAACAAAGAAAAGGAGGAGCGAAAAATGTCGAGTTGGCCGATCAGCCGGAACAAACAATTTCGGACATAGTGCCAAAAGAGTTGAGGAAAGATAATAATTTCAACATCAAGGAGAACACTAGAAGGCAGGTCTCCGTGTAAAACTTCCCAACTCTTATAACAAATCATATCTTCCCTATTGATTAAAGGGACTACAGGTAGGAGAGCAGGACGAATCTTTTCCTGGACTCCCTCGAGGGGAGGAGAGGATTACATGTCACCGCGTGGGAACTCATTCATTAGGACGTATCCCTTCTTGATGGGCTTTTCCCTTATGGTGGACAAGATCGTGGATAAGTTTTGCTTCAATTACCAGTTGTGCCTTGCACTAATAGACCCTCAGGTATGGATCTTGGTGATGGTCCGTTGACACTTGGCTTCCAAGGTTGATGTCCCTTCTACATACTAGCATTTACTTCATCTGTACTCTCCCAATATCTACCGAGGGGCATGATTAATATGACGTAGCAGGGTTCGAAGGCTCTCATCTTGGACTATGAGAATTACTTCGATAGTTGGTGGTGTGAACGATACGTAGTCATCCAAACCAATTTCCTTTGGCCGGGCACGAAGACCCGGAGAAATGGAGTTTTACCCGTAAATCTTTCTGTCTTTTTCACTTTCCTGGATTAAATTAGAGAAGACCTTTTTACCACGTACTATATTGTTCAGCTACTGTGGTGGAGGTATAAGCGGCGGAGGTATAAGCGGTTCTGGACATAGAGGATTGGGTATCCAAGATCTTAAGGGGTATCCACCGAAATTTCTAGGTCATGGAAAATTATAGAGGCCTACCTAGGAGGTTTTCGAGAGAAGTATCATGGTGATACTTCTTTAAGTTTAAAACTTCATTTTTCTCCTTCATCTTTGTTGTGTCTAACATATGCAGATTTACATAGGTGTGGGGGTTAATAAAAGACCAAAGCCTTGGGTTGGTTCTGTAGAAGAGGTGTCTTGGTTGATTCGAGAACTGATCCTCACGATTTTGGAGAATGTTCTTTTGAAACCATCTTCCTCCGGTTCTTCAAAGAGGAAGCGTATTTCTGAGAAAAAGTCCCAGCCATTTGGGTTAGGAGAGGGTGCCACTCGATCCATTCCACCGACTATTTATGATGGTGTTATCGGATGATAAATGTATACCGACCCCATCCAAGTTGACTTTGGGGAGGAAACCACTATTATTTCATTTGTAGGGGTTATTCCATAGGGAGGCCTGGTGGCAGAGGCCACGATAGATATAATTTCGAATGAGGGTATGCTGATAAGGTGACTTCTCTCATCTAAGGAGAGAGTTATGGTTCCCTCAAGTGAGCGATAGGTTCTGCCTTTCCAGACTGTCCCTTCTACTGAAGAGGCGAGTTCTCGAGAAGGTTACAATGAGGTGGCTTTGTCGGCTCATGACGGTCCCCTTGTTCCTATAGAGAAGACTTCTGATTGCCGTCATATCAATTATCGGTGCCAAGCTGGGTCAAAAAATTCAAGGAGCCCAAGCACATTGCCGCTCATCTTCCTTAGATAGCGAGTCCCCAAGACAGAAACAGATAGAGTCTATGAGTGATGAGGCAATGGTGACGCAAATGGCTAATGAAGCTGTAAGGGTAAGTCTTCTAAAGTGATCCTTTTCTATTAGGCTTTGCCGATCATTAACATAGCATAAGTCATTTATTTTTGTAGATCACAGTGCTCAGTTCGAGGACTTTAAAGAGGGTTTGAGAGGATGCCACTAGGTCCAAGGAAGTAGTAAAGTATGACCGGACATTGAGGGTCGAGCTCCAGAAGCTCAAAGAATAGAAGGGATCACTCTTGGCCAGGACCAAAGCCGCAGAGAGGAGCGCTGAAAAGAGAATGGCCAATTTTTGAAAAGTGAGGCAGCTCTACTGGCTGAATGCTCTAGGGCCAATGGTAGGCTTTTTTCCCTCCAGGTCGATCTGGTCTTTAAGGCCGATGAGGAGGTTTGTCTAATGGAAGAGTGTTCCCGTTTATCAGTTGAGATTTAGAGGCTAAGGTCGGAGTTGGCCCTGACTGAGGAGATAGTCCAGGCCAATAATGTCGATTGTGAGACCATTCAAATGGACTTCAAGAACTTGCCAAAACAAGCACCCTATGATCCTGGGCCATTATTGAAACCCGCTTGCACACCCTTCACGAAGTTCGCACTAGTGCGGTTGATTTTCAACTTGAGGTTCCTCAATTAGAGGAATTGGCTCGATGACTTGGTATCCCCTCTCCAGATATGCGATGTCTTACTTCCTATGAAGATGAAAATGTGGATGATGTTGAAGATGATGAAGTGGAGGAGTGACTCCTATCCCCGACCTATCGGCCCCTGCTGGTTTTGTTGATCTGAATACCCTTACTTCCGGCACAAATGCCAGCGATTAGTTATAGTATTGGGGCTTTGGATCTTTGTACTTATTTTGTATTTTCTTTTTAGGGTCTTCTGTATAAAAGTTATATTTAACATGATCTTTTCTCTTTTCCATTCCTTCGAGTATTTTGTGCCTTCAGGATATTTTTTTCGAGTATGTTCTTTGTCTGTATTAACGTTGATGGCCGTGAAGGCTTCAGAGCTTTTAGGCTTTGTCGCTTTTGGGAAAATAGCTCATTGTCGTGATGGGTCTCTTATTGGCGCGAGAAAGGATGACGTCTCATACTTATTAAGTGCAAGAGAAGAAGAATGGTCTCATAATGACTAATTATTGCTCAGCACTAAGAGGAAAATGAACATATGTATTCAAGAAAGCATATGAATAGTCAGAAGAAAGTTAAAATACTTATTTCATATAAGAATAGTCATTTGGCATTATATAAGAGCTGGTTGGATCCGGACGCTTTGTTATATAGATATATCTTGACCGCTTTAACGGAGTCATATATAGATGAGCATAATATGCTTAAGAAATAACTTTCCTTAAGGGTCTGATAAGACTTAAAAGGCTCTATAATTGAGTGTCCAAAATTGATCTTTGTAGACTTCGCTTTCAAAATCTCTTTGTAAACTTCCAAAATTGAGCATAACAATTGGTCTTTGTAGATTTTGCCTTCAAAATGGGGCGTTGCATCCGATAGTAGCAATTCAACAAAATAATAGATTAGTACCCTTCCACGTTACCGACCCAGTTCTGATGTAGATGCTTTTCCTCGAGGGTCCTATTCCTGCAAAAGGAAGCGAAGGAATGGGGGAGTATTTTTAGATGAAGATAGTACCCGGACCCGTTGATCAGACAATTCGACCTTGGCGTGGAATTACGAAGGTTCATATGTCGTACCAAAAAGTTTGTATGATCATCATTCAGATCGGGCCGATTTATTGACTATTATCTAAAAATATTAGTAGAGAATAATAAGTTCATAAAATAATTTGACGGAAAGAAAACAAAACCATTGTGGTTCCATTAGAAGTATAACCGTTTGAGGTGTGCCACTTTCTAATTTTCCTTCACAGGATTGCTGTCTATTTCTTTGAATTTATATGATCCTTTTCGCGTTACCTCAGTGATCTGGTAGGGTCCTCCCAATTGGGTCCAAGTTTTACACATTCGATTCTTGGGATGTTGCAAATATTCTTCGGAGCACGTAGTCACCTACTTTGAAATGTTGGAGATTGATTTTCTTGTTGTGATACCTCTTGATTTGTTTCTTTTGTGCAGCCATTCGAACCAAGGCCATATCTCTTCGTCCTTCCACTAAATCCAAGCTGCAAGCCACTACTTTCTTGTTCGAGTCTTCGATGGTATATGAAAACCTTAGACTGGATTACCTCACTTCATCTAAGATGAGAGCCTAAGATCCATATACCAGAGAGAAGGGAGTCTCCACGGTGCTTGATTTTTTTGTTGTACTATAGGACCATAATAATCTGGATAGTTTTTCTGGCCATTTTTGTTTCTCTCCTTCTAAGCTCTTTTTTAAGTAGTTAAGTAGAACTTTGTTCGAAGATTCAACTTATCTGTTAGCTCCCGAATGATATAGAGTAAAGGTGACTATTTTGAATTTCTATTCTTCGAAAATTTTAGACACCTTGGCCCTGAATAACTGTCGTCCATTGTCACATCCAATTGACTTTGGTACCCCAAATTTGCGTATGATGTTCCTCCATACGAAGTCAATCACTTCCTTTTCATGGACCCTTGAGTATGCACCCGCTTCCACCTATTTCAAGAAGTAGTCAGTTAACACAAGTAAGAATTTTACGTAGGGTGCCCCACCCACTTCATAAAAGGCCAAGGGATAATATGGAATGTAGTGGCTTGATTATTATTATAAAGTATATTATTCGTATCTCTGTTACAACACAACGAAACTAAATGGTTCGAATCTAAATTGATTTAAGGATATACACCTACTTTTTCTTGAACTGTAGTTCAATCGGTTAGAGCAATGCCTGTCAAGGCGAAAGCTGCAAGTTCGAGCCCTATTAGTCTCGATGGATTCAATAAATATATCAATTAATCTTTCCATTTTCTGTGAAAAGGGGAGGGGGATATGGAGCATAATTTCATTCTTAGCGGGGTATCTCTTTTTTTCCTTTCTTTTTTGTTTCTCATTTCTCATCAAACAAATAGGAAATTTTTTCATTACGTCAACTAGTGTCGATTGATGGGAAACAGACATATGTGGATTAGTATAATTAATTCTGTATTGGCATATTCAGGATTCCAAGAGAGGCAAGGTATGATTTTTTCAACCCGGTCCATGTGTGTAATAGAATAGATTACCTTATTTATTTTTATAGGGAGGATATACACAAATAAATTTTTTTCTTGTATGATACAAAATAAATTACATTCAATTACATTACCCTTAGAGAATACCATTCCAGATTCCATTTTTTTTCTTTTCTGGCGGAGCTTTTGTGTAACCTCAATTACTCCAATTTTGAATTTGAAAAAAGAAAGATATATCACATTCGAAATTTATACTGAGCTTTTGATATATGAATTTCAGTACTAATCCAAGGAAGGAGGATATTCAAAGAAAATCAAATAAGGATTCCCACCATTTCAGTCAATGTAAGAGAATGCAAAGTTTTTGATTTTTCTAGTTAGAATGAATTGGTCGTACCTATCCAATCAATAATATCTTATGACAGACTCACTATTCACTGGGTTCTTGGGTCATAATTATTATATATGAGAGATGGACGAGTGGTTTAAGGCATAGCGTTATAATTTCTATGCAGGCTTTTATTTACCGAAGGTTCGAATCCCTCTCTTTCTGCACTTTCACCTAATTCATTAATGTGTGACCGAAATGTATCAAATAATAATGAGAAAAATGATTCTAACAGTTAGACATTCTTTTGATATATATTCCATATTCCTAATTGTTATTTTTTATAAAAAATTGGAAAGAGTGGACAATGAACTAAAATATCCATGTCGGCGTATTTTGACATCCCACGGCTTCAGAAGGATCGCTTAGCCCCCTTCACCTTCAATGCAAGAGTGCTTGATCAGTAAGTTATTACGCACTCTATCAAATGTGGCTGCTTCTAAGAAAACCTCTTGGTTGCCTCTGCACTCCTACCTCCTTTACCACTGAGCGGTCAATTAGGGGCCTCAGCTGGTGATCCGGACTCTTTCCCTCATGATTTCAATGAAGTTTATCCCCCGCCGTCTCACTAGACCTTGCCTCCCTATTTTTAAGGTCATATCTAGTATTTAGAGTTTTTTCAATTTGGTACCGCTCTTGCGACCCGCACCAAAATCGTACTTTACCCATAGATGTCTAGTCAACTGTTTCACCTCTATGCATTTAGAGAAGAACCAGCTAGCTCTGGGTGCGAGTGGAATTTCACCTCTAACCACAACTCACCTGCTGATTCTTCAACATCAGTCGGTTGGGCCTTTACTTAGTTTTACCCAAGCTTCATCCTGGTCATGGATAGATCACCTAGGTTCGGGTCCATAAGCAGTGACTATTGCCCTATGAAGACTCGCTTTTTCTACGGCTCCGATGGGTTCCCTTAACCAAGTCACTGCTTATGAGTCGCCAGCTCATTCTTCAACACGTACGCAGTTAGAGCCTAAGCTAATGATACTTTCGCCTAGTGGACTTTAACCATCTAGGGTGTAGTATTCGGGCTACTTTGCTTAGTTGTACGACACTTTTATTTCTCTCCCTTAACCCTATTTTTATGGTTTAGGCAACCCCCATTTTTCTAGTCGCTACTACGAAAATCACTTTTCCTTTTTTTTTCCCTCCGGCTACTAAGAGCTTTCGATTTTCTTAAGTAAACATGCTCCTTCTGAGAACGGTTTTACCCCACTCATCAATCTTATTCTGTTTTCGATCCTACTTCAGATTCTCTGTCAGTTGTGGAAACAAGACCCTATTCCTATCAGTTGAGCAGCCCAAGCTCCTTAAGAGCGTATTGTGCCCTCTCCTGTGAAAGAAATAGGTTGATGCACCTAGATATCCGAAGTAGAGCTTTTTTTATCCCACCTTTCCTTACTGGCTTTCCTAGTTTAGATAGCATATTCAGAATCATGTCAAAATACACTAATACCTGGGCCTAAGTTCTATTTCTTCAAAAAAGGGTACCTTTAAACAACCCGGTTCCAAACACACCAAAGAAGTAAGCGACTCCCTTTTCTTTGAGTAGCCGTCCATTAAGGCATTCATCCTTCTTTCGTATATGTTATAGCTCATAATTTTAAGCCCCAATTCCTTGGTGAAAAGAGTTGCCACCTTTAAATCATCAAAAAAAGAAAAGAAGGAACCGCTCAAAAGTGACCACACAACAATGATTCATAACTGAAAAATATAACAACAATGTCTCCTAGCTGGAAAGGAATGCTCCTAACTGAAAATTTATCTCGAACAACCTCTAACAGAAAGCCATTTTCCCTTTCGCAAAAAGTAAACTTGGACATCTTTCCTAAGCGAAGATTTGGACTACATGGACCTAAGAAATGTGCCGAAAAGGGCTGCCTTTCACTGCTGGAAACATTAATTTAGATTGGAAGGATTCTATCTAATCTTTCCTAATTTAGAAATTGCACGCAATCAACATAGTTTCCACTCATTCCTTCTCCACCGCCACTTTTCTAGTCACTTTAGATTTTATAATTTTTTATTCTCTTATGAGAAATGATTTTCTTCGTTTCAGTCGCCGTCGCTTAATGTATGTAGGGGCTGGGGCATTTCCCACACGATCCCTTTTAAAGGAGAACCAAAAGAATAATAATGAACTCAAAGCTAATGAAGGAGATCCGTAATTTGAATAAGGTACATAGGATCTTTGCTAACCATTTCTATTTCGACTTCTTTGAAAGGTAAAAGAGTAATAATCTAGACCGACTTGCTCTTAAATTAAAAGCAGGAAGAGCAAGTAAGTAGGATTTTCTCCGCAAGAACAATCTTGATTTTCTTTATACTTTATTCTATAAGGCCCTTTAACGGTCGTAAATGGTATGAAATGTAATGACCTATGAGAGAAGGGTTTTTGGAAAAGAAAGTGTACCAATCCGGCAAACAAAGCAAAAAAAC